TGTAGGAAATCAAAGCCCATTTATGTTTGGATGACTTTTTTTTTTTTTAAAATTGCCTTTCCCCAACTACCTTCAAGAAGATGGTGACGAGTGTCCTTGAACAATCGGACCCAGAAATAACAAAAGAATGACAATAAATTTCCGAATCAGGGTGATGCATAACTTTGAGGTAGTGCTGTTCCATGCATCCCCTTCCTTTGTCCTTCAAGGTGGCAAAAATCAAAAAAGTGTCGAGAAGTGCTGAAGAAGAAACTTTGCAAATTACTTCCGTGTATCTTGTAGATTATGCATCCGCTGCGGATACATTGCATCAGATGATTTTTTTTTGGCAGCAGGAGTGAATGTTAGGGTTCTGCCAATCAAACTCTGCTGAATGGCATTGCTTCTTGAGTACTGTTGGAATTGCACTCATTCCAGCAAGTGCAGTGTGTTTAGTCATACTCTTGACTTGTACTACATAGATGATAGAAATGTTTGGGGGAAAATCAGGTGATGATCCTCTCACTTGAGAATACAAATCTCCTTGTAGTCACACCTTTCAAGTGGTTCAACTAGATCAGTTTCTGGTCAAGACAACTCGGATGGTGAAGCTTTTGACAACTGTAATACTGTTGAAGGTATAAGGTTGAAAGTATAGACTCTCTCGTTGGAAATGGTCTGGCATTAACTGGCTGAAATTATGGTTACCACCCATCAGCGTAAGCATAAATGTTGTCCTGATTGTACTGCATGAGAGCACAGACTTCATTATCAAAGCAATTGTGAATGGAACTGAACTCTGAACCCTGAACCCTTCAGCCATCCCATTTTTTATCTCATTATATACAGGGAAGCTTAGCAATGGCGCTAAATGGATGAACCTAGGATACTGACCTGAGGAACACATAGCGTTGTTCAGAAGCAGAGATAATTGGCTCCAACAATTACTTTCATTTGTACTAGATATTACTCCTGCCAATGGTGAGTTTCCCGCTCCTCTCTGATTTTGTTAACTTCAAGTTTACTTCAGATCCTTGTCGGTATATTTGGTTAAATGCTGCCTTTGTGACAATGGCAGTTATGCCCTGCTGAATTCAATTCTCCTGTTCATGTTTAGCTGTAATGAACATTGGAGAGGAGTTACTCTAGAGAATTCCAAATTCAGCACTGCTAAGTGCTGCTTGACAGCTCTCTTTGCAGCATCTTTAATTACTTTGATCAAGAATAAATTGATGGGGCAGCAATTAGTCAGATATGATCTGATCCACTTTTTATGGATAGGAATACACTTAATCAATTACCACCATGTTGGCTAAATGTTAACAATGTAGCTATGCTGGAACAGCATAGCGTAAGAGGCAAAAACTAGTTCTGGACCATACGTCTTGAGCATGAAAGCCAAAATGCAGTGATAGCTCACAGCCAATGCTGTATCCAATGCACTTTTGATGTCATAAGCAATAATTGAATTGGCCAAACAGTGGCATCTATGATGGTGGGTGCCTCAGGATACAGCCACAATGGACCTTACACTTGACACTGTTGGTTGAAGATGGTTGTAAACAATTCAGCTACATCTTTCAAACTCAGGTGGTCAGCTCTATCATCGAGTACGGGGATGTTTATAGAGCCTACTCCATTCGTTCCAGTTTCCCAAGTATCCAACATCATCCGTAAATGATGTGGCAGGATTGCACAGCTTGGACCTGATTCATTGGTTGTGGGATCACTTTACTCTGTACTTATAATTCAAAAAAACAGTCTCCCTCCAAAAGGTAAACTTTGTCTCTTCATTCTTCTCAACCGAGTAGTAGCCTTGGACAGTTGACTGCATCATCCTGTTCCAACACCTGCCTTATCCACTGTCATCGACCTGGACGGGACTGACATTAACTCTCAAATTTTACACAGAATATCATTTGCAGTGATGTTTTCCTGCTCCCATACCATTAGCTATGGTGTTCCCCCAAAATAGCTATCCCTGATAACTCCTACTCCTCACTAACGTTGAGCCTCGGCAACATTATCCAAAAGCACAGCATTAGTTTTTACTTGTATAGTAAATGACAAACAGCTAGACCTCTCGACTCCTCTGCTGATGCCAAATTATCGACTGCTTATCTGACGTTCAGTACTGGATAAGCAGAAATGTCCTTCAATTAAATATTGGACAGACTGAAACGATTGTTTTCAGTCTTAATGTTTCGTGTCCAGTGACCCTCCTTCAGCTTCTTTGGAATGAAACAGTTCTGAAGAAGGGTCACTGGACCCGAAACGTTAACTCTGATTTCTCTCCACAGATGCTGCCAGACCTGCTGAGTTTTTCCAGTAAGTTCTGTTTTTATTTCGGATTTCCAGCATCCACAGTTCTCTCTTCTTTTTTGGTGGCCATTGTTTTCCATTCATCTCTCTGGCAAATGAGCTTCCAACCATGTAGTTATGCCATCACTAAGATAAAATATTTCCACTTCTGTGACATCAACCAACTTCACCTGTCTGAGCTCATCTCCTGCTGAAACCCTGGTTCATACTGTTTTTAAACCTCGACTTGAATATTCCAAAACGTCTGTGGTTGGTCTCTTAACCTCCACAAACTTGAAATCATCCAAACTTCTGCTGCTCGTGTTTGAACTCTCAGCCGGTTCCCCTAACACTTCTCTAGTTGCCTGGACCCTGGTCTCTGGGAATTCCCTCTCTACACCTCTCCAGCTCATTTCTTTGCTTTCGACTTTTAAGATACTCCTTAAAAACCTGACTAGGCTTATGGTCATGGAGTCATACAGCATGAAAACAGACACTTCGGTCCAACTAGTCCATACCAACCATGTTCCCAAATCAAACTAGTCACACTTGCCCGCATTTGGCCTATATCCTTCCAAATCCTTCAATTTTCATGTAGTTATCCAAATGTTTTTTAGATGTTGTAACTACCTGCATCCACCAGTTCCTCTGGCAGTTCATTCCACATGCAAACAGCTCTGTAAAAAAATTGTCCCTCATGTCCTTTTTAATTTTACCCCTCTCACGTTAAAAATACACCCCCTAGTTTTGAAATCTCCAACCTCGGAAAAAGACACCTGCCATTCACCTTATCTATACCCTTCATTTTTTAAACCTCCAAGGTCATCTCTTAACCTCCTACACTCCAGTGAAAGAAGTCCCAGCCTTTCCAGCCTCCCCATATAACTCAAATCCTCCATAATCGGCATTATCCTGGTAAATCTCTTCTGAACCCTCTCCAGCTTGATAATATCCTTCAAATCAGGGAGACCAGACCTGGACACAGTATTCCAGAAGAGACCTCACCAACATCCTGTACAACCTCAACATAACATCCTAACTCCTATACTCAAAGGTCTAAACAATGAAGGCAAGTATGCTAAACACCTTAACCACCCTATCTATATGTGATACAAACTTCAAAGAATTATGTACCTGAACCCCTAGGTTTCTCACTCAACAACACTACCCAAGGGCCCACCTTTAAACGTGCAAGTCTCACCTTTGATTGTTTTACCAAAATGCAATGCCTCGCATTTATCCAAACTCCATCTGCAGTCTTCAGCCAATTGATCCAGACCTCTTTCTAATCTTAGATAGCTTTCTTTACTGTTCACTATACCTCCAATCTTGGCGTCATCTGCAAATCTTTTCTGAACCCTGTCCAAATATCTCCTCCTGTGGCTGTGTCATTTTTGTTTTATAAGGCTCCCATGAAGCACAGTCAGATCTTTTATAATATTGAAGGTGCTTTGAAAGTAGAAGTTTGTTTTCTCGCAACCAAGCCAATGATGACAAGAGAGACTGGACTCGATATGAAGTAAAACAAACAAAGAACATGGCCCACCATAAACTCCCAACCCCTACTTTCGCAAGGACTGGGATATCAAACAGTTAAGCAACTCCAAGAGTTGTTTAGCTGAATGGATTTTGTTCTGTTTCATTTTGAATCTGTGCAATGTAGTACAGCTTTCGTTCCAAATTGATAGTCAAATGAAAGTCTTTAAAAGCACTTCCTGTTGACAGGGCTGACACATCCCTCTAATAGTTTCTCTTTCCCAAAGACTGACATCTGACACCTACAAAAGTAGCTTTTGGAAAGAATTATTTCATGTTGCATCCTGAAGCTGATATTCACTCTTCCTAGCACCAGAATCAAGCTCCCCGCACCCTTTAAATCACCTAATAGCACAAGCCAAATATTAAATCTGAAATCTTTCATACTCTTTAATGACTGTTACATCTGCATAATAGATCCTGCATCTAGTGCTATCATATTAATATTCAGGCAGATCTATTCCTATTGAATATGGAATCAGTTTGTATTAAATAACATGAGCAATGCGAGTGGATTATGATAGATTTAAGCTCTTAAAATACTGCAGTTTACGCAGCATCAACACTTCAAATAAAAACCATATTGGCACTTTTTTGTATAGCTTCACAACAGAAAATGTTCTGCTTTCACTTTAAAAATTCTTTCAAGATTAGAATTTAAGAACATGCCTTGATTAAAGATATTTGCTGCTTTTGATAGTAGTTTTTGATGCAAATGATAGCTACTTCTCTTTCCACATGATACTTCAACAGATGTCTCAAGGAAACATTATAAATATCCTAAAGGAAAACACTGTGGAAGCTACAAATCAGAAACAAAATAAAATTGGAAATTCTCAGCGGGTCTGATGGCATCTATGGAGAGGGAAACAAAGTTAATGTTTCAGGAGATGACCGTTCATCAGTTGGAATGTTAACTGTGCTTCTCTCTTCACAGATTCTACCAGAGCTGCAGAGTATTTCCTGAATTTTTTTACTTTTATTGTAAATATCCTGCAATGTATACGCACAAAGCAAATGCAAATCATCCACCTTGCAACAAGTACCTTTGTTAAGGGAAAAAAAAGAATTTTCACTGATTTGGCCATTGTTTCTAAATAATTAACAATACATCTGTTTGAATTTAGTTTAATGTATAACCTATGTTCCATTCTAGCTTCAATATATAAAGTAGACTACTGTACCTTTATTGTTTTAAATTCTTTTTTCCAGGGATATAGAAAGAGGTTAGTGCAGAAGGTTTCCAGAATTCCAAAGGCAGTGAGAAGCGCACTTAAACTTGATGTTCTGACCATCCTCAGAGCATTCTCCACTATATCATAAAATCTAAAGACTTTAAATCTTTCATTAGAGTCCTGGCGATATAAATCAAGTAAGGAGGTAGCAGTCTTCTTAATGCCCGCATCATCAACTGCATGATCCTTTTCATTCAATTTTAATTCACAAATCTGTACATATTTCCGAAACAAAGTGTCTCTGATTTTATTTGTATCCATTAGGAATTTATGGGGGAAGAATTCACCACATGTCCACAGCCTTCCTGTTTTCAACTGGGAATTAGTTAAGACTACAGTCAATGATGCCAGGGAAAGTGACACACTTACCTGTGGATTAAAAAGAGACAGAATAAATTAGAAATTAAATTGAAAGAATCTATGAAACAAGTCATAAAACGTGACAACAAGCTTGTATAAGGAAATGAAAGTGGTACATAAATTTTAAAGTGAACTTCAACTGTTATGAATTACTCGTTGCGAAGTTACAAAACAAAAATCCCCTCAAAAGTGAAATAGCAAAAAAATTAAAGGAATATGCAGTCAAAAATTCACAGTATGAATTTGACTAAACCATATTTAAATGGTCAATGATAATCTATTCCAAAAGTAGCTGTAAAAGAATGGTGAATTGGAATTTAAATATTTAAAACTAGCTTTCTTGTAATTAAGACATAAAATTCTGGAAATCCCATTTTAGTAAGAACAGAAGAGTAGAGTATTTAACAAATTCTCAAAAGTATGATTGAGGTTTAAAAATGACTCCGCTAGTAAACATACCACAACTGCAGGCAATTTCCATCTGACTTAATGGAACACCCAAGCTTATAGTTAGGTATGTTTTCTTGGTGCTTGCTTTTCTCAAAGAAATGTTTTAATATGATGTGGTGTGCATTTGAAAATGTTTCAGTTAAATAGGATACACCAAAGTATTTTTAAAGCAAAAACCCTAGTCCTGAACCAAAGCTATTTCCTAAAACAAACTGGCTGCATAAGGAATACACGTCTACAAGCAAATGCAGAAAATGGCTAGTTTTCATCTCTGACGGAAGGTCTAAAAGGATGCAAATAGATTTTATCAATATTAGATATGATTTTTAAAAAAAATAAAACTATTAGTCCCACATTGAATTTGACCATTTAATATTTATAGTGCAAAATTAAGAGAAAATATCTATCCAATAGGCTTAATTTCTTCCTTAATTACTCTTATCAGTGTAGAGAAGAAACTCAGTGAAATAAAAGAAGCAATTAATGGTCACATACTGAATACTATCATCATTTTTTTCCAAGATGATGAAAAACTGTAAATTATTCAAAAATTATATTTTAAAGTTACATTTAAATCTCTACCAGTTAGATTCGTGTTTTGTACTTCAATCTGTCAAACCTAGGGCTAGACCATTTTTGGTGGATATAAACATTGTTATGCAGAAATAATGTTAATATTTCTCACGTTGTTTCTAATAATAAAGCTCACGCCCAGCTATATTTTTCAAATGGTGTTTCAGCTTGTTCTTGAACCTCAGTATTTGAACAACACTAGGCTATTATATTAACAGTCTGTTAAAAGTGATAAAAAGAATAAGAACTGACAGATAAATGGAGAGGATATTCAAAAATTAAATACTTGCTTTAATATTTCAGAAGAAAATACAGCTTGCATCTCACACAGCAAAGTCAGAATGAGCTGTAAAGTGCACTAAGTGGACATTTTCATTCACCTAGACTACACCTCCTCTCACCCACCTTCCTGCAAAAACGCGATCCCCTACTCCAAATTCCTCCGCCACATCTGTTCCCAAGATGGGGCATTCCACTCCCGAACATCCCAGATGTCCTCTTAATTTAAGGACTGCAACTTCCCCCGTTCAGTGGTCAAAAATGCTCTCGACCGCATCTCTTGCGTTTCCCACACCTCTGCCCTCACATCCCCTCCCTGCAACAAAAGCAAAGACAGAATCTCCCTTGTCCTCACGTATTACCCCACTAACCTCTGGATTCAATGTATCATTGTCCGCCACTTCCACCACCTGCAATCTGACCCCACAACCAAGGATACATTTCCCTCCCCACCCCTAACTGCCTTCCGTAGGGACCGCTCTTCTGTGACTCCCTCGTCCGCTCCACACTCCCCACCAGCCCCGGCACCTTTCCCTGCAACCACGGGAAGTGCTACACTTGCTCCTACACCTGCCCCCTCACCTCCATCCAAGGACCAAAAAAAAAGCCTTCCATACCAGACAGACGTTCACCTACACATCCGCTAACATGGTCTACTGCATCCGCTGCGGCCTTCTCTACATTGGTGAGACCAAGCAGAGGCTCGGAGACCACTTTGTAGAGCGCCTGCTCTCTGTTCGCGACAAACGACAACACCTTACAGTCGTGAACCACTTCAATTCCCCCTCACACTCCCTGGACGACATGTCCAGCCTGGGCCTCCTCCAGGGTCACAACGACGCCACCCGGAAACTGGAGGAGCAGCACCTCATGTTCCGCCTTGGGAGCCTACAACCCAATGGTCTCAATGTGGACTTTACTAGTTTCAAAATCTCCCCAACCCTGGCCTCGTCCCTTGACCAACCCTCCCGCTCATCCTTGCCTCCTTGACCTGTCCATCTTCTCTCCGACCTGTCCATCTTCTCTCCCACCTATCCGCTCCTCCCACCTCACTGACTAATCCCCACCACCACCTACTTGCACTCAGCTATCACCATCCCCACCCCTCCTCTCTATTTAATTCAGAGCTCCCTTCTCCCTTCCCGACTTCTGAAGAAGGGTCCCAACCCAAAACATCAGCTTTCCTGCTCCTCTGTTGCTGTCTGGCCTGCTGTGTTCCTCCAGCTCCACAATGTTATTTCTGACTCCAGCATCAGCAGCTCTTAATATCTCTGATTTTCATTCAGTGCTTACTTTATTCATACCACAAGTATATACAATTTATCTTCTGTGCCAAGTATAATTTCTGACTTTATTTTACAACTTGAAAATGCATAAATATGATGGTGAACATATACTGAAGTAAACAACACTTTGTGGAATTTCTAGCTGAATTATGTATAAATGCAGTCAACACATGTAAGCAGAACACAAAAATTGTACCAGTCTGCACACACATAATTTAAGATATTTTACAATTTATGCACATTTTGTACCACATTGAGCAATTAATAAGAGTTAAGGGAAAAGTATAGATTAGATATTCTCTTTGAAGAGAGATGTGTAATCATTCAACTTTCCATTTGTTACCACCAAGGACAATACGCTCAATTACAAAATTTTGGCTGAAGTACAATTTATTAAAGTTGATTAATAAGATCTATTTCTGGTGTCAGTATTAAAGCCACTTCAAACAAATGAAAAAGTAGATTCAATTTCTTAAATTTAAATCAGTTTTGAAACATCAGCACAAAATCAGCTATTCGGTCGGTTTCTCAGACCCTGAATATCTACTCATTGGGTTTTTCGACCAAGTTCCCATAGGATGTGTTTAACAGTAGCCTTGAACATAAGGGATACTTAATCACTGTTCAAACTTTAACAACTAAACAGCACAAATTTATCCCAGAGACAGTAGGAACTGCAGATGCTGGAGAATCTGAGATAACAAGGTGTAGAGCTGGATGAACACAGCAGGCCAAGAAGC